CATAAGTTGGAATCAAGATTGCTGGGAGAAACACCAATAACCTCAGATATGCAGATGACACCACCCTTATCGCAGAAAGTGAAGAAGAACTAAAGAGCCTCTAGATGAAAGTGAAAGAGGAGAGTGAAAAAGTTGGCTTAAGGCTCAACATTCAGAAAACCAAGATCACAGCATCTGGCCCCATCACTTCATGGCAAATAGATGGGGAAATAGTGGCTGACTTTATTTTTCTGGGCTCCAAAATCACTACAGATGGTGACTGCAGCCATGAAATTAAAAGACGCTTACTCCTTGGAAGGAAAGTTATGACCAATCTAGATAGCATATTAAAAAGCAGAGACATTACTTTGCCAACAAAGGTCCATCTAGTCAAAGCTATGGTTTTTCTAGTAGTCATACATGGATGGGAGGGTTGGACTATAAAGAAAGCTGAGTGCTGAAGAACTGATGTTTTTGAACTGTGGTGTTGGAGAAGACTCTTGAGAGTCCCTTGGACGGTAGGGAGATCCAACCAGTCCATCCTAAAGGAGATCAGTCCTGAGTGTTCATTGGAAGGACTGATGCTGAAGCTGAAACTCCAATACTTTGGCCACCTGATGCGAAGAGCTGACTCACTGGAAAAGACCCTGATGCTGGGAAAGATTGAGGGCAGGAGGAGAATGGGACAACAGAGAATGAGATGGTTGGATGGCATCACCAACTCAATGGACATGAGTTTGGGTAAACTCCAGGAGTTGGTGATGGACAGGGAGGCCTGGTATGCTGCAGTCCATGGGGTCACAAAGAGTCAGATATGACTGAGCAACTGAACTGAACTGTGACACCATTCCATTCTACTGCCCACCTCTCCAAACTCCTTAAATAAAGGGGATAATTACTTGATTCATCCTAGAGCTGAAAACTATTCTCCTGTTAGGTAATAACAGCCAGACTTCCTCATTATTGAACTTCTGATAACAGATTCGGGTCCTGTGGTCTTCATCAAAAAAAAAAGAAAAAGAAGACTCTCAAGTCACTTTAGAAGAAAAAGTGAGGCTTGTCTAAGGACAGGAAAAACTTCAGTCTAAGGGCAAGCCAGGAACCCCTGAGCCAGGGCCCAGGAGTCAAAGAAACCTACAGCCAAACCAAGCAGACCTGTCTCTAGCTCCCCATCTGACTGCTCCTCATGAAATAGTCATGTCACAGGAGACCCAGCCTGCTCCTGCCTTTAATACTGCAAAGCCACATGGAAATATGAGTCTCTGATAACAGACACACCCAAGGAAGAAATTCTTAACACCCAAGGGCACGAGACAAAAGGGCCAGAGGCAATATAGAGGAAGAAAAAAGAATCCAGTAGTACAATAAAGAACTGCTGACAGAATGCCTATCATCAAAAAATCCACAAACAACACATGTTGGAGAGGGTGTGGAGAGAAGGTAAGCCTCCTACACTGTTGGTGGGAATGTAAATTGGTACAGCCATGATCGAGAACAGTATGGAGGTTCCTTAAAAAACTGAAAATAGAGCTGCCATAAGATCCAGCAATTCCAACCCTGGGCATATATTTGGAGAAAAACATCTGAAAGGAAACACACACCCCAATGTTCATTGCAGCACTGTTTAAAAATGCCAAGACACAGAAGCAACCTAAATGTCCATCGACAGAGGAAATGATAAAGAAGATGTGGTACATATGTACAATGGAATATTACTCGGCCATTAAAAAGGATGAAATAATGAAATAATTGCAGCAACATGGATGGACCTGGACAGTGTCATACTGAGTGAAGTAAGTCAGACAGAGAAGGAGAACTATCCTATGACATCCCTTACAGGTAGAATCTAAAAAGAAATGATAACTTACAAAACAGAAAGAGACTCACAGACTTAGAAAACCAACTTATGGTTGCCATGGGGAAGGGACAGTTAGGGACTTTGGGAAGAACATGTACACACTGCTATATTTAGAATGGATAACCAATGGGGGACCTAATGTATAGTACGTGGAACTCTGCTCAATTTTATGTGCCAGTCTGGATGGGAGCGGGGTTTAGGGGAGAATGGATACATGTATATGTATGGCTGAGTCCCTTCACTGTTCACCTAAAACTATATTGTTAACTCCATTGTTAATCAGCTATACCTCAATACAAAATAAAAAATTTAGTTTGGAAAGAAGTGATTTGGTAGCTTGAGATGCAATAAAACCCATTTATTCATGCAGAAATCTACAATCTGGCTGTTTGCGTAAAAAAAAAAAAAAAGATCTCCTGACAGATATTGAACTTGTAAGGGAAGAATAAATAAATCCCACAGATCATTGAGAACATTGCCCTCCCTGTCTTCCCCACCTGAGGGCCACTCTAGAATAGGGAAGATGTCCCAGTACTCCGAGGAGCCCTAGATAGCTTCTGTAGAAGAGACCAGGGTGTCTAGAGCAAGCCAGTGCTGCCCAGAGCATGAACTGAGTTGACCAACAGAGTGGCTTTCGATTGCTGAAATGACTACAGAAACTGGCCAGGAAAGCGGAGTGCCACCTTGACACAACCGGATGCAATTAAGTTCAATGGTGACGAAACTAGGCTGCAGATCGTGAGGGCAGTGCATGTGATCCACAGCCAAGGTTACCGCGTGAGGCGGAGGCCGGCCTGTCTCACTGCCAACAGGAACATCAAAAACCTCACACATCATGCTGTAAACATTGTGATGAATCGATCTGAAAACCAACAGGCTCCATTCAGTTCACAAAACACTTCATTCTGAGACAAGAAAGCAGCTGGATGAACTCTGAGTCCACTTTTAGCAATAAATGAAGAGGGAGGTAAAAACGTGTTATCTGATTTGCTACAGGTTTTCTGGTTGGGCTCTAACAGACTCTCGAAGTCAAGTCAGTAGAATCCTTGGGGAGAGCAGACAGAGACAGATGACTTTCTCCAGCCCTCTATTTGCTGCTCTTTGATGGTGGGCTGTTACACCAAAGCTTCTACATAGGGTCAAAAGGTCACACCTAAGAGGTTTCTAGAGGAGTTAGGGAAGCTGAAGTTTATCAGGGGTGAAATGATTCTCCCAATATACCCTTGTACTAAGATATAAGCAGAAAGATTTTGCCCAGACTATGGCCTCAACCCTTAACTTTATTTACACATAAAGCCAAAGTTGCACTTTTTAAACAGTAAATCTCACTGGAAATCAGTAGCTGAAATTAAATAAAGACATAAGAAATATCCTGCCAGCAACAAAATCAGTTCTGCCCAAGAACTTTCTGGGTATCCCCAGGTGGTAACTAGAAACTCGCCTCACAAAAAAATAAGTAACCATTTAATTTCTTAGCACCAAATAACAGTACCTTAGTATTGAAAACAGTTGGAGAAAGGAGATACTAGACTTATAAGTGTTTTCCAAATAAGAAAATCTTCCCCCAACTGTGGAGCCCCATTTTAACCAATTATTTTTTTTCACAGAGAAATGTCTCAGATACATTCCACACTAGTTAGGGCTATGAAACAGGTTTAATGTTGTAATTTTGACACCCTTCCTGACAGCAAGATAAATATTACAAACACTGCAGGAACTGAAGTATGCAAATTACTTGCTTACCTGAAATAGTAAACGGAACACTTGTGAGTGTGCATCTGTGTTTTACTGTGCAAAGGGCCCTATCTAAATTTTCAAAGTGACCCAAGATGGGTAGAGGTCTCTGCCCAGACCCATGGGCCCCCGGTGCTGTGATGTTTTAGTAGCATCCTCATTGCTTCTCATGGTCTTTCTGTTTTTAGCCATCACCTCTCACCCACACTATTCACAACACTTTTGTGGTTTCTATTTGTCTTACCCCCTCTAGTTGCTTTTCTTTCTCTTTTCTCACTCCCATTTCTGCCACTGCTCCTTCACTTCTATTGTAAGGACAGGTATCACTTGATTCTAAAAAGCAGTGGGATCCTCTTCTGGTTGGCAGACCAGTCACATGTCTTCTAAATTGCAGCACTTGGGGTTGGTCTCATTTCTGCTCAGTACTGGGACTCTCTCTAGTTACCTTTGGGTTTGTGGGTATTCTAGAAAGATGCCGGGTATCTGCTTGCTGGGGACATTATTGGAGCAAGCTTCTCATAGATATCAGCAGGCTGAACTTCAAAGTTAAATGGCAACAAACACATGCTCCCTGCTTAACCTATGATCTACAGATGACTTTAAGGAAGTTGAGGCTCTTTTGTCTCTTTTCCAGCTTATATGAGCATCTGAAATATCTGCATCCCCAGACTAAGCTGGGATTTGCAAGAAATATTTAGAGCTTGCTCAGCATGGCACTTTCAATCATGTTCTATAAATGGGACACTGGTAAATGAGCCATAAAGAAAAAAAAAAGAAAATGCCACTGCTTCTTCTTTATTGGTAGATTATAGCAAAATGTAAAATGAAAAGAGGGAGATGAGGTAAGTAGAGGGATCTCTGATTGCTGGGGAGTCAGATGAGCCTGGGGGCGACAGAACTGGTAAGAATACTGGCAATTGCTGAGCCCTGTGACAAGGACAAAGTTGCAAAGCTGCTTTACCCCACCACAAAAGATAAGATGCTGGCTCCTGAAATGCCTGAAAGTGAAATGCTTTCACTTCTTACCTGTCACTGCAGCTGTTTTATAGTTTGCGGGGAGGGAGCTGATTAGCTTTTTACATAACTAAAAATGACAGTGCCATGGAGGAGAGATATATTCCCAAGAAGAGCTAGAAGTGGCAGACCTCAGATAATATAAAATTAACTGAATTAAAAACTGTATATACATAAAACATGCACAGAAACATCAGCTCTTCAAAAGCTGAAACAGAGATGAAACATATAAACAATAGAAAAAGCAGTTATAGATACCCAAAAGGCAAGTAATAAGATTAGCATATAGTTGAAAAAAAGTGGCTGAGAAAAGCCATAAACCCCTCAGTCCTCCTGCGTTTGCACTACAAGCGTGTGGGTACCCACAGGTCTCCACACCTGTGGTCCAGATGGATGTGTCTGCCCAATTCCTTACCTCACTGCGCTCACTGGCTGGGATGTGTGAAGGCTGTGCTTCTTCATCGAGTGGCTCAATGACGGTCACCTCTGCAAACTCCTCCACGGATTCTTGAAATTCAGGTAAAGATCTGCGTCCATAACGCTTCCCACCTCTAACATATTTGGGCTGAGCTTCGAGAGTGCAGTCTGGGCAAGGAGACAAGAGTTGAGGCCACATTACAAGACAATCTCAGTCCCTATCTGACACTCCCAGCCTTCGGACACAGCCTCTTATATACCAGCCCCAAAATAAACCACCACCGTTTGCCAGCTGCAGTGGATGTGGGCGTCCATGAGCCAGCAGGTCAGATGCAGAGCATAGCTTCTAATTCCGAATGATTTATAGTGCCCTGAGTAGATCTCAGCATATGGTGGGAGAGATGCAGAGCCCACAGCAAAGAATTTGCTTTAAACTATGGAATTAAGATCAGGACAAAGCAAGCAGTCATATTTGTTCTTCTGTTTATCAAGCTCTGCTCACAGATAGAGGGGAAGGTAGAGGGACGGATGATACCACCAGAGAGACACATTGGAAAATGATGATAAAATGAACACTCTATCAGCACTGTAAAGGTAGCATTCACACCAATTAGTCTGGAACACGCCCCTCTTGTACCTCAGTGATTCCTTTGTTAACCATCCCACTTTCTGATCCAGCAGACAAGCAAGATGAGAGAACAAAGAAACTGACACTGTGCGTCCTAATCAATTAATGACAGCTCATTGCTTACACAAAACTTGGCATCAAAATCTCATTATAAAATTAAAAGCTGTGGAATAAAACAGCAAATGCAAAACTGCATTAAGAAAATGATATATTCTTTTCTCTTCATGAGCTTTGTGTATTGCAAAATAAAAAAGAATGTGCATTTAAGGGTAGAGTCACCTCCTGGCCTTGAAGAAGGGCTTCAGCATTCTGCAGGACATGTCTCAGGGTCAACCTTCACCACCTTCACCATCATCCCCACATTCACCACCACCAAAACCATCACCACACCACCACCATCACCACACACTAATCTTCCTCTACAATGGTAGCTTTAAAGCAATAATACTTCACTCATTACGAATGTCAAATTAGAGACAGACTTTTTTTTTTTAGCATCTTGAACACAATTAGGAGAATAAAATTTTCCATTAAATATAAGACTGGCAATACTTTGATTTCAGTTCTTATCACCCATACAGACACACTGTCTCTCTGGAGAACATATGTGTTCTGTTTGAACATGACAGTCTTAACAAGGTATGTCTGAACTGGGACATGTAGATTTTTAGGTAAGGGCTGTACACATTTCAACAAAATTAGGGTAGATGATTAGACAAGAACTAAGAAAATAAAACCCTACTCCTTAACATGAAAATGTTAAGGGGTAGCCGCTACTTTGAAGCTTCCCTGGGAGGACTGGTGATCCTATGTGACTAACTCCTCACTCCCCCAGGCCCTTTTCCTGGGATAAGCTCTGATTTCACAAATGTGCTCAGAAACATCCTGAAAATACTCAGCAAAGCTCAGAGTGAAGTATTTATGCTTGTTCTATAAATTCTAGTGCTATTTATACCCAGCTTTTTCAAAGTCCCAGCCAAGTCACTTTATTAGGTCGAGTGATTCTCTTACACAAAGTGTTCAAGCATACAAAATTTATACTGAAAGGCACATGCATATTTGAAGGTACCTTTTATCAGAAGAGAGCGTGTCAGCTTGTGAGCATTCAGGAGCGGCCCAGACAGCCGAGCTACTTGTTGGCAGCTGACACCCACAGATGCTAGTCAGATAAGAGGCAATGTAGAACCATCCTTAATTTATTACATATTCTTAAATTTTAGTGGAGGACAACAAGATACACCATTTAGTGATGATGGGGGCTTAGAAAAAATTAAAGGGAAAATGTAAAACATCGGAAAATGGAACATGGGATTTTTCCACAGTCTGGTCTTCCACGGTCTGGGGAAGCAAGTGACAAAGGAACTCTTAATATACGCTGTGCTTTTTCAGAGGAAAAAAAGCAGTGGGACAAAGCCACTGTTTCAAACAAAAGCCAAAAAAGTCCCACTGTGATTTAATCTAAAACCCATCAGTGGATAAAACGGTTCCCTAGTTAGTGAAAGTGTTAGTTGCTCAGTTGTGTAGGACTCTTTGCGACCCCATGGACTGTATGCTGCCAGGCTCCTCTGTCCATGGGATTCTCCGGGCAAGAATACTGGGGTGGGTTGCCATTCCCTTTTCCAGGGGATTTTCCTGACCCAGGGATCGAACCCAGGTCTCCTGCATCACAGGCAGATTCTTTACCATCGGAGCCACCAGGGAAGCCCTAGTTATTTACCACTAAGTATCTCATGCTGTGTAGGGAGCAGGGGTAGGTTTGAAAGAGTTCTTTTCCTACACAAGGAAAGGTAATATGTAGATTGTGAAACACTAGGATCCTTTGGTGTTTTATTTATATACTTACTTATTTTTGCATTGCCAGAAACTTTAAGTTAATTTTATATTTTAATTATACAAACCAATTCTGAGTAAACGCTAAGTTAATATCTTTCACAGACTGTACCTACATCAAAAAGTTAATTTCTAGAGAAATCTATTAAAATATAAAATCTTTTAGGAATAAAGATATTAACACAGCAAAGGAAAAATGAAGTATTAAAGTTTCCTCATAAGAAATTTCACAAATCGTACAGTAAAGTATCAGACTAATCACATCAGTTAAAAATAGTTACATTTTAGACTTACATACCCACATATTCTTTTTCTGTTTAGAGCATCAACCTCATTGTACTTACAAAATAAGAAGGGGAAGAAAGACATTAAACGTAAGGAGGTCTAGAGAGAACATTCATGCCAACAGTCATTGCTGTGTTAAGGGTTTGAAAACGCCAATATTCTCCTTATTCATCTCAAGCAGGGCTCTATAAGTGTTCAGCAGCAGTTCACCAAAAAGGAGGCCTTAGTGGGGGTTTCAAGACATTCTTGCTCAGTGAAAATAAAGAACACCTTGCCCCTTCCTTACCACGCCCAAGAAAGACTTGCCAAACCACAGCCCAGGGGCAAAGTTTCTTTACTTTAGGAGCACATCTAGATGTGATGTACGTAATCTTTTCTATGTCAGATAATACATGGTCATTTAACCTATTAAGAAATGAAATTATGTACATATAGCTCCCTTTAACCTAAGTGTAAGTAACCGCTCCAATCATGAGCTCCAAGGAGGGACATGAAATTCCAGTGGGGGCGCGGGCGGGTGGGGGAAATAAAGGACTGCTTTTACTTTCAGTGTTTCAGTTCCTTGAATGTGTATTTATGATTCTACCTGGAGTGTCAAGCTTGTGAGCCATTTTCCCTTCTTTCCTGTTTTCCATTTCCCCTATTTGGCATCACTACATAAAAGCACAATTGAGCTTTGAAGGAAAGCAGACAAGCCCACACTGCCTAGAGGAGTCTTGGACTCCTGGAGCTTCTGGAGAGCTCATGATGAGATGTAACAAGAAGAGAAACTCCAGAGCTGTGACAATGTTCACTTTCCAGGATCAGGATGAACCACAGTGCATACATTTAATATGACCAGAAGATCCTGTGCTCACAATAAAAGAAAAATTGAAATACAAAGTTAATGAAAATGACCACTTGGAACAGGCTAGCTGCAGGCAGGGAAAACAACCAACAGCCACCCACCCCCACTCCCCTCTCCCTCTAACTGAGCAGGGCAGTGTTCACTCTGCGCTCTCCCCCAGAACTGCCCCAGACACCTGTGTGATGCGAATGGCCACTTGGAACACTCAGTTCTTGCAATGGCCAAAGACAAAGCAATGAGGACCCAAGAGGAAGCTGAAATGGTTACCCAAAAGCCTAAACACTATTTATTCCATCAATACTTTTCATGAAAAACACAAGCTTAGGACCTGGGATGAAGTACCATCCACAGTAAAGTATTAGTCACTCAGTCATGTCTGACTCTCTGTGACCCCATGGACTGTAGCCATCAGACTCCTTTGTCCATTGAATTCTCCAGGCAAGAATACTGGAGTGGGTTGCCATTTCCTTCTCCAGGGGATCTTCCTGGCCCAGGGATTGAACTCAGGTCTCCCACATTGTAGGCAGATTCTTTACCATCTGAGCCACCATAGCATCCACAGTACATACATGGGAAGTTAAAGGAGAGTTTCAGAGACACACCCTAGTATTCAATACCATGTATTCAATACCTAGTATTCAATACCATGGCAGAGTGTTCTGTTGTAGCTGTTGAGGGATAAGATGGCTATTTTATCACTTTTTGAATCAAACTTCCCTTTTCCCTGAAATGACCTGAGGATATTTCCAGGATGAAGAAGAAAGCTATGCCTTTGTGGTACTGATCTCCTTATTTTGGAATTGCTCCTGCAATCCCTGGCTTCCTGCCTCCTTAACCTAGGAATTCATTCCCAGAGACCCCATCCCTTCTAATGGACCTGGGGGCAGGGGGATGGTCTGAGACCCTCTAGACTACATTTCTGCTGACCTCACGGAATTCCTGAAATCACTCTTTTGAAAATAAAGCAGGTGTAAACCTCAGGACAAGCCTCCCCCTACCACCCCAGCCCACCAAGCTTCCCGGGAAGAAGCAGTCGTGCAGCAAATGAGCACCCCCACCCCCAGCGTGCATGCCACCGCCTCGCCCACTCTGACACACCGCTGCACAGGGATCACAGAGTCAGAGAGCAAGTGCACAGCCGATACTAAGGAAGAGAAAAGGGAAGAGGAGAAGCGAAGCGGAGAACCACCCAGAGAGAGGAGGACACAGAGACGGAAAGAGAACCAACAGCAAAGGAAGCGGGAGAGGGACAGAAGCAGGGCGGAGAGTGAGAGGCCGACGGAGGGCTGGGAGAGCGGAAGCAGGAAGACTTGACGGGTTGGGGTCCAACAGGCAGAGGAAGAATGAGTGAGAGGCCAAGAAGAAGAGGAGAGGAGGGTAGAGGAGAGTGGGAGAGGTGGGGGGAAAAAGGGCTGGAGAGGGAGATGTTCCAAGGAAGGGAGGGGGAAAAAAGACAGCTGGATAGCCTTGGAACATTATATCCATTCCTTCTGCCTCCCAGTGCAAGCCCGCCTCTGCGGAGACCATCTGCAGGCAGGGTTCTCACCCCCCATTTTTGTGTCCACACAGCCCTTTCCA